GACTCCCCTCCCCACTGCTCCCTTTCCCTCCCCTCGCCCCCTGCAGCCCTCCCCGCTCTCTCTCCCTCCCTCCCTCCGCGCGGGAGCCCGGCTCTCTGGGAACAATGGAGGGCAGTGTGGCAGAGGCCCGCCTGGAGGCCCCGGCCCCTCGGGCTCTTTGCGGGCGGCTCTCGCTTCCCGGGATCCCCCCGTCCGGCCTCGGCTCCCCCGCCCCGCCCCCGGGCCCGCGAGCCCTCAAGCTGCCGCGCTGGGGCTCCGCCGGGCTGGAGCTGGGAGGGGGCTCAGTGTCTGCGTCAGTCTACAGGCGAGGCCTCACCCCCTGCCCCGTTTCCCTTCCACCCTCTTACACCGGCCCAGGGAGCGCAGCGACCTGCGCGACTCTGTTCTGTGGACCAGCACTGCCTCCCTGGAGCTCCTTAGAAATGCAGACTCCCAGGCCCCACCCCACCGTCTGAATCAGAATCTGCATTTCATCACCATCCCCCGAGACTCTGGACACGCTGGAAGTGGGAGATGAGCTGGCTTAAACCAGTCTGTGCCCTAGTTTCCTCATCTGTAAAATGGGGATGGTAAAAGTGTCTCCTCTGTTGGGCTGACTGGGGGTTAATCTAGTTAATGTCTGTAAACGCCCAGCCAGGACCCTGACCCGGCAGTCGGTGGGCAGTGGGGTGGGCAGTGGACATGGGGTGAAGAAAAGCATGCCCTCACTCCCCCACCCCACGGTTGGTTCTCCAGTGTCCTGTGCCCTTCCCTTCCTGTGGGCTAGTAGCCATCCAGCGGTGGCCTGGCCCTGGGGCTGGGAGGTGTCCAAACACGATGGCCAGCCCTGGCCTCCCCCAACCAGAAACCCATGGAAGGCCCAAGACACCCCCAGTTTTCAGAGTAGGCTTGGAGAGGTCTGGCTTTGCCCAGCACCATGTGGGGAACGAAGCTCCAACTTGAACCCAGCTCTCTTCCCCCTTGCATCTCCTGCCCTCAAGGAAGCGTCTGAAAGCTCCCAGGAATGGAGCCTTGTGAAATGAACTGCACACTCCCTCTCACTGAAGTGTAAATGACCGTTATCACTGCCCAGGCTCCCCGCCCTGGAGTAAGCACCTGGCCCCAGACAGACTGGGCCTTGACGTGGTTGGCGGGCTTTGAGGCCGAGAGGGCAGGAGGGGGTTAACCGGGCTCTGCAGGATTGAGTCTCTCATCCCCAGATATGTCCATGGGCTGAGCAGGGGTGGAGGAGGCCAGAGCCTGGTGCCCGGCTGAACTCTCAGAACCTTCCAGGAGGACCTGCAGGGCCTGTGGAAAATTCCCAGGCTATTTTGGGCTGAGGCCCCCTTCTCCGCCCTTTCCCAGGATAAAGGCCCTGCCGACACTCCCCTCCCTGGGGGCAGGCAGGGTGGAGTGGCTTCCTGGCTCCCTCACCTCTAGGCCGTGGGTCCCCAGTCCCCTGGCTGGGTGGTCCCCTGGCTGGGTGGTCCCCTGGCTGGGTGCTCCTCAGGACCTGGGGGCTGAGTGGGGGAGGGCGAGCATGGCCTGTTGCTCACCTCAGGCCACCTGCTTTGAAAATACTGTACCCCCCTCCCCCCCACTTGCTTTTCCTCCTTGGCGTTCCCACTGCCTGACACACTGTGTGCTGGACCAGTTTGTTTATTAGCTGCAGGACCCGGCAAGTCTCTCTCTCTCTGTTTTTTTTTTGTGAGGAAGATCGGACCTGAGCTAACACCTGCCAATCCTCCTCTTTTTTTGCTGAGGAAGACTGGCCCTGAGCTAACATCTGTGCCCATCTTCCTCCACTTTATATGGGACGCCGCCACAGCATGGCTTGACAAGCGGTGCATCGGTGCGCGCCCGGGATCCCAACCGGCGAAGCTCAGGCCGCCACAGTGGAGCGCGCACACTTAACCGCTTGCGCCCCGGGCCGGCCCCCGGGCAAGTCTCTTGACACTCCGTTTTCCCATCAGAGAAATGGGAAAGAAATGAGCTGAGATGTGTAGTCTGCGAACACTGCGGGCCCCAGTCCCCCGCTCTTGTCCAGGTGGCCGTGGGTCCCCGTTCCCTGAATGTAAGCTCCTGGAGGGCAGGAAGTTCACTGTCCTGGGTTCTGTGTCCTGCACGTAGAGGGCGGCCCGGGAACTGTGGGTTGAATTGGAGGCAGCAGTCTTCAGGGTCCTCTGCATCAATGCATGGGTCCGCTGCCACTCCCCCACCCCCCACCCCCCTGTCGCTTGGTGCACACACCCAGGCAGTGACAAGCCCGTGCATGCGTGCACGTGTGCGCCTGGGTTCAGATGAACAGATGGCACTGGAGAGTGTGTGCACACACACACCACACACATGCACAGAGCCAGACACACCCATACAGTTGTGCACTCAAAGCCACAGCCACACACATGTACACACGTGTACAGACACACACAAACACGTGAGTGCACAGCACAGCCGCCCCGACGTGCTCGGGCATGACATTGGGTCTGAGTTCACTGCGGCCCGGGTCTGGTCTGAGCCTCCTGCCGGCCTGAGCTGCAGGCACCTGCTTGCCAACTGCCCGCAGCTGTAGGGAGGTGGCAGGGGCCCTGCCTCCTCCAGGGCCACCCTGGGGTTGGAGGAAGCCCGGACTGTGCCGGTGCGGGAGGCAGGGCTGCTGCCCGCCCCCCATCTGGGCGTGTGTTGAGGAGGCAGCAGGGGGTGCCCAGAGCTGGCTCCTGAGTGGCTGGCTGCCCCCTCCCCCAGCCGGTTCCTGACAGCTGGACTTTGACGCCACCCTCCGCCTCCTCCTCCTCCTCCTTGCCCCGGCTGGGCTGCGCCGCCACTCCCCAGCTCAGATGGACGGGAGAGCAGGTGGGATGGTGCTTATGGCTCCTGGGGCTCCCAGGCCGCACCTCCCTCCCCACCCCCCTCCCCGAGTCACTCGCGCTCTCCGTGCCTCAGTTTCTCCCACTGCCAGGTGAACGTGAGCGTGGCCACCCCTGCTGGACTGTGCATAGTCCCGAGCACACCCCGCATGCACAGAGAGCCCCAGCCCTGGGTTTTGGCTTCTGGTGCTGGTTATGGGGAGCCTTTGGTCATTCCCTGGACTGTCCCCAAACCCTGCTCTGTCCCAGCCCCAGTGCTGGCCCTGTGCACGGAGAGGGACCCGTGCTGCCCTCAGGTTGCTCTCCCCCCACGGCCGTGGGCCTCCATTGGCATCTCTGAGGGATTGGGTGTGTCTGGGGAGTGGAGGGGGCTGGGATGGAGAGAGAAGGGGCCCCAATGTCGGCCTGCTTCGTTAACCAGGGGGAGGTGGGCATGGTAAGGGGCATGGGGACAGACGGACAGACAAATGGGCCTGAAGGAAGGGAGACAGACATGGTGGTGAGGATGACCATGATGCCCTAGAATTCCTGAGCTAACCCTGCCCTCCTCTCCACCGTGTCTCTCGCACCTCACCCCCTCTGTCCCCAGTCCCCACCACGGAGTCTCCTTGCTGACTTTAGGCACACCTGGGCCATTGCCAGCCTCAGGGCCTTTGCACAGGCAGTTCTCCTACCTGGAAGAGCCTCCATGTTTCAAATGGTTGACCCTTTCTTACCGTTCGGGGCCCAGCTTGCACCCTCTGTAGGGAAGCATCCCAACCCTGCTACTCTGTCTCCTTCTGTGTATTTCTTACCAGCCCTTTTGGCAGTCTGGAATGATCTTGTTTACATACTTATTTACCTGTTTATTCTCTGGCTCCACATTCAGCCCTGTGTCTCTCGGGCCTGGCAGTGGGCAAAAATACCTCTTGAATGACTTTATGTTGACAGTGATAACAACAATCAGAGCTGACACTTACTGCTCACTTGTTCTGGGCGGATGGTGTGCCGAGCGCTTAGCGTGTATTATTTTAGTTCAACTTTATGATAATGGTGTGAAGTCGGGACTATTAAAATCTCCATTTTCCAGACACAGAAACCAAGGCCCAGAGAGGTTAAGTAACTTGCCTAAGATCACACAGCTGGCAGGTGGTGGGATGAAGTCAGGTGTGCCTGACTCCAGAGCAGGAGGGAGACTTTGGGTAGAAGGGGGAGGGCAGTGTCCCCCCTCACTCTGGTGTCACCCGGCCACTGCGGTCCCACCTGCTGTCCTGGGAGGCCTGGGTGGGGCCCTCCCTTCTCTGGGCCAGCCCCCTTTCCAGAACCCCAGGCACTGGAACATTCCAGGACTCTATGACCTGTGCTGGTGGGTCATGCTAGAGCCTTGACCCCCAGTCCAGCGGCCGGGGCCTTTATGAGGTGGGGGCTCCCCAGACTTGCGCTGCAGCTGAGAGCAAGGTCGGGAAGCTATGTCACTTCCTCCAGAAGGCCAGCCGGCCCTCTCCCCTCCCGGCTGGACAGAACTGAGGCCCGACAGGGAGCGTGGGGGCTGCGGGCGTGTGGAGGGGAGGACTCGGCCCGCCTCTTGGGTGGTGTGGCTGGGGGCAGAGGGAGCACGGGCAGAGAACTCGGTGCCCTGGGGCCACGTTGTTACTATAGGTGAGCGCAGCCGGAGTGGAGAACTGGGGGTTCAGGGTCGCCAGGGCTTCCAGTGTTTTCAAGACTAGCCTGACACCTGGATTTTGAGGCAAACTCCTGGGATGTTTAAGAGACAGCTCATGTTTTAAATCTGAAAACCCCGTGCGAGCCACAGAAGCCCATCCTGGCCGCTTCTGTCCCCCTCGTCGTGTGAATGGGGGTGAAGTGTGAGTTCAGTCTCCTCCGCCGTCCCGGCCGCCAGGGCCTGGCCCTGCTTCCTGTGTCCCCATCCCCAGCCCTGAGGGAGTGCTGAGTGACGCCCACCCAGCGGCCGCACTTTGCCCATGGGACATTGATCCCCGAGAGGGGGAGGGACTGAGCCAAGGCCGTGTCAGTGCGGCGCCTTTGTCGTCACACAGTCGGAGTCACACAGTCGGGTTCGTTGGGTACAGGGGCCACGTCGGGTTCTTGGCAAAACTGCCAGGGCCATGCAGCCGCTCTGGTCCGCTCCCCTCTGGCCCTGGCCGGGTGGGACCCACCGCTGACGCGTGTGGCCGGTCACCGGGGGAATTCGGTTTCCTAGCAGCACCCTGCCACCTAGGTGGGTGGAAATTCCCTCTGAGCGCCTGCATCTGAGCACGGGGCCTGGTGGAGAGGCAGCCTTTGGAAGGCCCCTGCCCCTGGGGTCCCTGTCCTGGATGCAGACCTGTGACAGCCCACCTGGCAGTCTGGGCCTTCAGTTTGTGTCCGGGGTTTCCTGCAGGAGCCCTGTGTGTCCCCTTGTCTGCCTCCCCCTTCCCCGTAGTGTCTGGCACTTGGCAGGGCTCCAGGGTGGCTGGAGTCCGGGCCTGGGGAGTTGGCATCAAGCATCCTGGCCTGCCCGCCGGGCTGGCCTCCTCCCTGGCTCCTCCCCCGCCTCCTTTTGCAAGTCGTTACTAAGTGCCTGAGCGTGCCAGCGGCTGTGCTGGGCGCTGGGGCCGCAGAGGGGACCGAGGGTGTCCTTGTCGTGGGGCGAGCTGGTGTTTCCGGGCAGAGCTGTGATGAAGGGAGGCCCATGGTGCTGCAGGAGCCCCGAGCAGGCGCCTGACCTGGCTAGGGCACGCCAGGCATGTTCCTGGAGAAGGTGACCTCCTGGCTGAGGGGGCCGGGAGGCGGGAGTCGCCGATGGCAGACTCGCAGACCTGGGGGTGCGATGCATCTGGGGCCCCTCCTGGGGGCAAGACCTGAGCCCCTGAGAGCCCCCGTCTCTCTCCAGGTCAGCCATGTCATCCGAGCCGCCTCCACCAGCACAGCCCCCCACTCACCAGGCTTCAGTCGGGCTGCTGGACACCCAACAGGCCCGAAATCGCTCACCATCCCCTCTGCGGGGCAACGTGGTCCCGAGCCCGCTGCCCACTCGCCGGACGAGGACCTTCTCAGCGTGAGTCTCGGGGCGGCCCGGGGAGGCTCCCTGAGACAGGTCTCCTGCCCGAGGCCAGGGAGCCACTGTGTCCCTGGCCATCTTTGTGCCGCAGTGTCCCTGTCTGTCAAATGGGCAGACTTGAGGTTGGGGTGAGGGCTGATGGTGAGAAACCGGGCAGGCACCTTGTAAACTCTGGAGGGCCTGGCCCCAGGTCCCCCTGAGCCTGACACGAGCTGGGGCGAGGGACAGGGGTCCCAATGGGTGGGAAATTGCTGGGGTCTTAAATCAGTGGACTTGAGGGGCTGGCCCAGTAACATAGCAGTTAAGTTCGTGCACTCTGCTTCAGCAGCCCGGGGTTCGCAGTTTCTGATCCTGGGAGCAGACCAATGCACCACTTGTGAAGCCATGCTGTGGCGGTGTTCCATATAAAGTAGAGGAAGATGGGCATGGATGTTAGCCCAGGGCCCGTCTTCCTCAGCAAAAAGAGGAGGATTGGCAACGGATGTTAGCTCAAGGCTAATCTTCCTCACCAAAAAAAAAAGAGAGAGGAAAAAAAATCAGTGGATTTGAACCACACACAAGCCTCTTTCCCCATGAGACCTTGACTTCCTTGGCTGTAAAATGGGGTCATTAGCAAGGTGGCCACGGTGCTGCGAAAGACTCACACAGTGCCTGGCAGATGCAGATCTCAGGCTTGATGAGTGGAGGCTGCTGCTGTTAGTAACAATTAGTCTTCGGAGGGATGCTGAGAGCTTTTAGTCTCACTCCCTCTTTCTAGCTGGGGAAACTGAGGCCTGAGAAAATTTGCCAGGGTCATCCAGAGTCACTCTGGGAATGGCTCCCAGAGTTGTGCAGTGCACAGCTGTACATGGTGGCCCTGGCCAGGACTCCCTGGGCACAGCTGTGGGTGGGGACTGGGATGAGCTGGGTGTGCCCCAGGAGAGTGGATGGCTGTCCTGGAGGGCCAGTGGGGACCCCTCACACTTTCCCCATCTCTGTCAGGACGGTGCGGGCTTCACAGGGCCCCGTCTACAAAGGAGTCTGCAAATGCTTCTGTCGATCCAAGGGCCACGGCTTCATCACCCCGGCCGACGGCGGCCCAGACATCTTCCTGCACATCTCCGAGTGAGTCAGTGGCTGGTCTGGGTGGTTTGGGGCTGGGGCAGTTGCTGCCTTGGCCCCTCAGATGCACGGAGAGTAACTGTGATGGGTTCTGGGTATGAGGCTGTGAGGCCGGGTGTGTGTGACTCTGCGTGTGGCCTGTGTGTGACTGTGGGGGTGGGGTTGTGAGACTGTACTTGGTGGCGGTGTGTTGGAGGCTGCAGGTGACAGTCCGTGTGTGTGTGTGTGTGTGTGTGTGTGTGTGTGTGTGTGTTGAGGGGTGTTGGGTCTGAGTGCCCCTGTGTGTCTGGTGGATGGGAGGCCGGCCTGGGAGTGGGGGGAGCTGTGTGTGGCCGGGGGGCCGGTTTCCTGCCCTCCCTGGGGGAAGCGGCCGGGGTGAAGTGAGGCTGGGGGCTGCCCCCCGCCCCCGCTCCAGGAAGGAAGTCTGGAGTTGGACCCTTTCCCGCCACTTGCTCACTGACGTCCTTCCTTCCTGAGGGTCTGGAGACCCGTGGGGGCCCAGGGCGGGGCCACACATCCTAGGCCTCGGGCCTGGAAGGCGTCCGCAGCCTCTGCCTCACTTCAGATCTTCTAGGCGCCTTCAGATACGTGGGGACCTAATCTGGCACCCGCCACCCCATTCTTTGGCCTCAGCACCCCCCAATCTTTTATTTCAGTCCGTGGCAGGCCAAGTCCTCCCCCGCACAGCAGACCCGGCCATATGTAGAAGCCACATTTTTGAAAATAGGGTCCTATTGCTAATGTCCGTTGTGATGGGAGTTATCCCTTCCTTACCCCACCCAACATTCTTACACATTGGATTCTACATGGTTCCCTCATCAGCACAGACATGAGAAAGTTGCTAAAGCAATGCATTTTCTGTCTGTATGAACGCACGTGTGGAGGTATAAGTGTATTTCCATATTGCCTCTTTCCAGAAAGGATTTATAGTGGTTTACAAGGATATACATAGTGCAACATGAAACATAAAATTAGTAAGGAAAACGGGGGGTGGGGGGCAAATAAGACAGATGGAGATACTGTCATGTCTGGTTCCATGGCTAGAAGTGGGCTGCACATTTATTCCTGAGCTTCCTGGTGGCCAAATCAAAGAGGGAAGCACCACTTGCTATGCCATTCTTGATTCAAGACAAACCAGTTCCAGGGGAGCAGGCTGGTCCTGGCGTTCAGGGTCTGAAGGGGATTTTCCTCCTGGGGTCTCAGCAGGGGGGCATCAAGATGGGCACCTGACCATCATGGGTGAGCTGGTGACTCATGTCCTGTGGAAAGTAAGGGGATCTTCCTGGGTGGTCACAAGGGAGAGGACCCTTCCTGGAACTAGCTTTAAGCACAAAAGGACTTGCTCGAAAGCTCACTGGGTTTCCGGGGAGTTGAAGAGCAGAGGTGCAGCCTGGTTTCTGGGACTCCTGGCCCAGGGTGGGCGTGCCACGGGAGCTCCGGAAACCCTGGCCAGGCCCTCTCGCAAGTCCGGTTCTCTCTGGCCCAGACTGGCTCTCCCTGCTCTCGCGTCCACAGGCCCATGGCGCCCGCAGGTGGCTGTGCTCCGTCTGTCCCAGCATCTCAGGTCCCGGGGAAGGAGCTGACGGCTCAGGGGCTCCTCAGCCACCACCGGAGGCTGGGGTGGCATGGCGCCACTGACGCCTGGGGGCCTCTCTGGTGGCAGGGCAGGAGGGGCGGCCCTCTGACCAGCAGGGGCTGGTGTCCTGGGCACTGAGTGCTCTCTCTCCATCCACAGCGTGGAAGGGGAGTACGTGCCAGTGGAAGGCGACGAGGTCACCTATAAGATGTGCTCCATCCCGCCCAAGAACGAGAAGCTGCAGGCCGTGGAGGTGGTCATCACCCACCTGGCGCCGGGCACCAAGCACGAGACCTGGTCCGGCCACGTGGTCAGCTCCTAGGAGAGGCGGAAGCACCCCTCCTCCCCTGCTTGCGGGAGACTCTGGGGGGAGGAGGCCCAGACCGGAGATGACTTTCTGCCGCTTGAGATGGGCCTTCAAAGGGGGGAGCACGGCCCCTTTCAAGTGCCTCCTGGAGGAGGGGGTGTGGGGGGCAGGCACGGGGGTGCCCTCGGCCACCAGCACGGCCTCTGACCATCGCCAGGACCTCTCACCATCTGAAAAGCATTAAAAGCATTGAAAAAGGAGAGGCGCCAGCTGGTGGCTGAGTGGAGGGTCCAACCGCAGCCCAGGGGGTAGGTCAGGTGGTATTCCCCAGCCCACGGAGTCCTTTGTCCCCGCAAAGCTCAAAGTCCCCAGATCCAGCCCGCTGGGAGGTGACATGGGCCCCGCGTGTTTCCCCAGGATGAATTCCCGCCCACGCGCGCACCCTTATTGTGTCTCTCCTGGGCCCTGGGCAGAGCAGGCTTTTCTAATTCTCGGCTTAGTTGGTTCTAGGGGAGCTGGTTTGAGGGGGGCAGGGGTGGGGAGAGCTGGGGGTCTTTGGTGCCTTTGCTGCGGGAGGTGTCACAGCCCCGAGCCCTCTACCTGGCAATGCTGTGCTGTGCTTAGAGCTGAATTCGCTTTCAGATGCCTGGTCTTTTCTGTCTTTCTGCAAGTTGTCACCATTGCTGTCTCGGGCAGCCGTTCACATCCCCTTCACTTAGGCGGTGGGTGGGGGTGGGGATGGGGTGGGAGAAAGGAGTGTGGAGAGGGGAGGGTCTCCATTTAAAAACAGACCTTTCTCCTGGTCCATCCAGAAATGAGTAGGTAGCTTGCCTCCTGACAGCCTGGTCAAATCAGAAATTGAAGGAAAAATACATTTTTGGTGAAGGGGTTCCTTTAAAACCAGTGTGAAGAAATGCTTAGGATTTCTTTCTTTTTTTTTTTAAATAACTAAAGCTCTCACCCAGAGCCAGCCCTGTTTGTACTTCGCTGGCAACATTGTGAACTTGTCTAGATATTTCCAGTAAACAAACCTTTAGGATTTTCTTTGCTGTGGTTTGGTTTGGCTTTAGTTGTGACTTAAAAATAGAAACAGCTGGGTGATATATTTTGAAATATGTGGCCTATTTGTAGTCAAGGAGCCATTTGTCAATGCAGGGAAGTGAGCCCTTCAGGGCTGGCTTTGGGGCAGACGAGGATGTTCCAGACAGAGGGAGGGCCGATGGTGTGGCCTCATCGGTGTCTCCACGCCGTGGATGGGTTTGTCTCTCAGCCTAGGAACTGCTTCATTTGAAGGGCGGTGGGAGGCTAGAACTGTCTTGCTCCTGACTGGTGGAGCTGTTTTAAGATAGGCAGATAAGCGTGTTGACGCCTGTGCAGTGCATGGCACGGTTAAGTAAGTGGATCCGCTTGTTCCTGGCCTGTCGTGCCCCTTGAAGGGTCCTCTGTGTCCCCCTCTGCCTCCTGCTGGTCCAAGGTGGCCTTTTCCCCTCCAGCCTCTGTGTTGCCCCTGGAGGCCTCTGTCTGTTGGGTACAGACCACACTTCCAGAGCCGCTTCTGCCGAGACCCGGGTGGGCTCCCTGAGTGTGAGAGCTGTGTCTTCACCCCCACTCTCCAGGTGTCTCCACGGGCTTGTCCTCGCTTTGGCACGCAGCCGGGGCGCCGTGTGGCCCCACCAGGCTCTGCCCGACAGTGAGCTGGGAGTTGGCGCCACTGTTGAGAGGTGAAACCTTTGGATTCTCTCACTGGGTAGAATCCTTTGTAAACGGCTCTTGCTCTGTCCTTCTGGTGTGACCACATCTTTTTCAGTGGATGAGTATTCTAGAACTGCAGGATGTCAGAGCTGGGAGGGGCACCCCCTCCCCACTCAAGCACAGAGTCTCAATTTCTAGAAACTCCTCGAGGCTCTGAGAGGACGGATGGTGTTGGAGACAGAGCTGGGAACAGAATCCAGGATTCCTAAATCCAGATCTTTCCTCCCAACGGCCACCTTTCTCTCAATAAAGGTTGTTTTGTGCAAGGCTGTGTCTGGTTTGTTAACGTGGAAGCTCTCTCCTTGGCGCCAGCAGGTAAGGGCGTCTCCCCACCCAGGCTGACACAGTCATTCTGCTTTGAGGTCTGGTTTTCTGCAGAATGAATAAGAAGATGGGATCATCCCTTTTTCCTTAATCATCCTTCTCAGGCATAAGAAACCTCAGCAGTAGAATATGGCTTCATAACAACAGAAACCACCACCTACGTGGTCAGTTGTGGGCACAGGCCCTGGTGAGTGGGAGTGAGCTCAGCGCACCGCACACCCGCGGTTGAGGCGGAGGGTCACGGTGCGGCCCGCACTGGACCTGAATGGCGGGCTCGCTCTTCACCCGTCCCCCGTCCCTGCTGCAGAGGCTCCATGAGGGCGCGCTGCTCTCCAGGCACTGAGTCGGGGCTGGAAGCAGGTGAGGCCGTCCCCACCCTCGAGGAGCCCAGGCCCAGCGGGCTGGCGGAATCTGCCATTAGGTGGGGGCGCACTAGAACGGATGCCTCTCCGAGTGACGTGCGCCTTAAGAGGAAGCCACCGCACGCCTGGGAGAGGATGCATCCAGGAGCGCTGGCTGAGCCGGCTGGGCTCAGGGGAGGCTGGGGGGTTTGCTGGTGGAGCAGCGGGGGCAGGGGCAGTCCAAAGGGGAGGTCACGAGTCGAGGCTGAAAGCCCGGCTGCTGGTCTGCAGGAGCAGGGCCTGGGTTGGGGGCGGGAGGGGCTGGGATAGGACGACAGCAGGGCTGCTCTGGGAGGGACTGGCAGGCTGGGAAGGTCTCCCCAGCGTTTCCCGAGGGAGGCAGATGGTGACGTGGTGGTGCCGAGATGAACATTTTACTGTAATACATTGATTTTCAAAGTGTTTTAGAAAAAATTATAACCAGTCCGTCAAGCCTGTGTAGGGAGAGGCCGAAGCAGGCGTTGAGCGCAAAGCAGTGAGCTCTGTCGCTGTCTACACCAAGCGGGGATGACGAGGTGGCACGAGGGCGGGCTGGGCAGAAACTGCAGGAGGCCGGACGGGCAGATTCGGCGAGACTGGCTCTGAGTGAAGGGGTCACTCGGGTGCTGCGGGGGCGGGGCCCAGGTGGAAGGGGGCCCGGAGGCCTGCCTGCCTGCCTGCCTGGCTCCGTGGCTCCTGGGCCAAGATCAAGGAGCTCCTGTTGGGGAGGAAGAGGAAGCAGCCCGTGGAGAGGAAGTGATTCAAGGCCGCCTGAGCCTCGCCTCCCCTGCCCGACGCCCGCAACATCTGCCTGACTGGTTCCTCTGCCGGCCCTCCAGTCACTCCCCACCTGGTGGCTGGAGACACCTTCCAGTGTCACGCAGGCCCCCAGCCTCCCCAGTTCCCTCCCTCGGGGTCCAGTTCAGCCTCCTGGCCTGGTTTATAAGGGCCTGGTGGCCTCTCCCTCCAGGAGCCGCCCGCGGAGTGTGCCCTCCACCCACGTGCCCTCCCCATGGGCCCTGCCCTGAGGCTTCTTAAGCCTGAGCGACCTTGAGCCCAGGGCCAAATACCAGATCAGCATCTGTAGTGCTGGGGGCAGGAGGCTGGCTTTCTTCACAGCCCCAGGCTAGTCTGGGGCAACCTCTGCACTTCCATCTTACACAACACTTAGCTACTGTGTGTGTTTCTCCTGCTCGTGTCTTTATCTTGCGAACTGCAGGAGGCTGGGGGAAGGACTTAGCTCGTGCCCATCTGGGAAGCAGGGTTCGAGGCTCCCGGGGGCTGACCTGAGTTAGCAACGGCTCACACACCATTCAAAGAGCTGGAGTGGAGCTGACATGTACTCATCAGTTAGAGCTGTGGTAGGGGAACTTGCCCTGTCACACGGCTGGTCGGCAGCAGAACTAGCCTCTGAGTCCTGGCAGCCCTGCTCTTAGCTGCCAACTACAGGCCCTGTCGGTCTGTGGGCACGTGTCAGTGCTGATCACACGTTATTTAGCCGTTAGGACTTTAGGGCCTGGCTGAGGAGGTTGTGGGGGGATGGGTACGGACCCTGGGGAAGGTTGGGCTGGGACAGAATGAGGGGACAGGACGACAGAAGCAGGGGAAGGATGGGATGGAGGCAAGTCCTGAGTGGCCTGGAGGTGAGAAGAGGGCTGAGGAAATTCTGACGGTGCAGAGGGACGGAATGGGGAACGGTGAGAGCAGTGGCCGCTGGGCATCGGGAAGGCTGCCCAGCCTCAAAGCCTTGGGGCACCTGCCCGTGGCAGCCCCGCAGGGCCGCAGGGACACAGCAGAGCCTCCACCTCCCGTTATAAAGAAGGTGAGTTGGAGTAAGACGCTGTTGTTTCGCTTCTATACAATAAGGAAACTTCTAGGGAATCGTGGGTCCTTGCCCCGCGGGCAGAAAAGCATGCCGGCAGGGTCTGTGCCAGTCAGGAAGGGCAACACCCTAACGTGACAAACACCAGAGCCTCAGAGAGGGGCTCTCAGATCTAAAAGGACTGGGTTTTCCTTCCAGAATCCGAGACCACATCATAGCTAATCTTGCACTTCACCACTCATTTAACAAAGGAGGAAAAAGTAATCAGAACGAGAAGTAGGAAACAAATCACTTTAATGTGCCACTTTTCATTTTGAAAGGTCATTACAGTATCATTTGCAAAATTCAACAAGGGAAGATGCCACCGGATGGTGTGCCCCGGGATCCACTGAGAAACGCTGGCGCCGTGTGTGGTAAACGGGGTGGGTGAGGGGCAGACTTCACCCGACCTGACCCCGGGCTAAGACGAGCCCGGTGGCTGGAAGGTTTGGAGGGAACCAGGTGACCAAAGCGCCTGCTGGGGGCGGAGTACCGAGCGCAGGGCTCCCTCAGCCCCAGATTCAGGTTGGCGAGCCCCAGCAGAGGCCACGCTGTGGATGGAGCCGGTCCCAGCACCGGGCTGTCGGTCCTGACTTTTCCGGAGTCTGAAAACTGCCTCCTTGGAAAGCTCTCTTTCTTCGTGTTCTGGACGAGGGCCTGGAGCTGCCTTCCAGTTTCACAAGGAACTTGCGGGAGACGGAGGGGAGGGAGGGTCGCAGGCCCAACCACGGCTCCTCCCAGCCCTTAGGTCAAAGTCCGGGTGAGGGCCTGGTGGACACGCTTCCTTATTAAAGATGCGCAGACACAGAGCACCTCCTGTTCCGCTAATTATCCAGGCTCTTAGCTGATCCCTGAGCAACAGAGGTGAATAGGCCTCTGGGAACCCTATCCAGCCCAAGCATGGAGAAGGTTCTTTCGGTGAAGTGTGACACCCGGACCTGGGCTCAGAGCCGGCATCCCGAGGAGGGCTGTGTGTCAATGCTTAACGGGGGTGTCGGCTCCTTTTTCCTCCCATCTTGATGGCTAGAGAACCAGCCGGGGCTTCTCAACGGGTAGTGAAGACAGAGCAACCCCGAGTTCCAGGCCAGCCGGCCACCCACAGGCCACGCTGAGGTCTGCGTCTCACACACAGGAAGCGGTGGGAGAGCAGAGTGCACGCGGTCACTTCGCTTGACCCCGCCTGACCACCACAGTGCCCTGGCTCTGAAGGCCCCACCAAGCTGACACTCGGGAGGGAGATGCATTTCAGGAGGGATTTCTCAACTTCTGCCCAGGGCTGGACCTCTGTGAAGTCCGGTCCTGTCCTTCTCACCCCCAAATCCCCTCTCGGTATTGAAGCAGGAAGGCCACACATTAACACCTGTTACATTTTTCACAAGACCCGCGAAGAGGGAGGGTCTAGGCACGTGCGTTTTTTCTGTATCATTCTAGAATACGGGGAGGTTCCCCAAACACCACGTGTACTGTGACTCCACGTGTCGGGGGTCTGAGACTCGGGGTGGGGGGTGAACCCTCTGACGAGGTATTTCTTTGAGCCACCCTTGACAAGCCTTTCTTGTCCCTGCAGCTACTCCTGGCGCTGGGCGTGGGGGGCGAGTTCACTGCTGGGTGAGGACACCACTGTGGAGACGGTGCGTGAGGACTGAACGCGGAGACGCTGGGCTGGCTGGGGGCGTGGGGTGTGAGGGAGGGATCTCGGGTCGGGCCACAAAACGGCCTTTTCAGGCTTGCTGGCTGGGCCTCCCCCGCTCCCCCCGGGCAGGGCCGGTTAGGAGAAGAGCTCCTCACAGATCCTGCGTGTGTCCTCGGGCGTCGTCACCGTGTAGCCCACGGTCCTCGGGTCTATGAAGATCTCATGGTCATTGCCACCCTGCAAAGACACGAAGCAGATGTAGGGGCCAGCTCGTTTCTCCTGTGCCGCTGCGGCTGGAACTCCCGAGCCTGGGCTGCTACAGAAATAAAGAACTGGCGATTCCACTGGCAGGCGCTTCTCCAGTCACCTTTCTCTTAGCTTCAGGAGAGGACAACACGAGTACAGTCATCACTGGGAAAGGTTTATCACCTTCACTTGAACTGCAATTTAGCTTGGAACATGTAATTACGCCTATGAAAGAAATCACGATGTTCTTGTGAACATCTAAGGCTTATTATTCCACAAAGCAAGCAAACACAGCAGGTGACAGAGTTCTCACTGCCATCAATTTGTTTTCACTGTGCCCAGAGTCCTCTAACGAGTCACAAAGGAGTGCAGTGGGGCAGACGGTCTAGGGCAGCGCTGCCCTCGGACCTCTGTGATGATGGACACGTCCACCTCTGAGGCCACAAATGACTCCCGAGGACCTGACGCGTGGCTGGTGCTGGCAGGAACTGAGTTTGATTCTGATTCATTTAACTTAAATCGCCCCATGTGGCTGGGGTCTGAGCCAGGTGGCCTGGTTTAGATCCTGCTTCTACCACCGATTAGGGGTGCTGCAGGCAACTCCCCACCTGTAAGATGGGGATCACGGTGAACCTCGCCCACAGCGCTGTGGCAACCGGTCAATGAGAGGATCGGATCCAGGGAAGGCCCCTGGACAGCAGCCGAGTCAGCACGCCCCTAACTGAGCTTCCCAGGCGTTTCCACAGCCTATTTCACCTGGTGCGCCTCCAGGGCTCGGGGGCAAGGCTTCTGCAAGGGCCTGTGTCTGGGAGGACCTGGCCGTGCTGCCGGGGGCTCCTGAGACGGGGTCCCTGTCTGGCTGCTCTCAGGGGAATGACTCAGGCTTCCCACTGTCCTGGGACCCCAAGCGCTGCAGAAAAGCCCCAGCTTTTCTTCTCATGAAATTTCCTATATTTTCCTCATAAAATCGGCTAAACAGTCTAACTCAAAATCTTGAAAAAAATCAATTAGTTTATAACACAATGAAAATATCTGCTGAGACAATGGATTTTTCTCATAAGGATTCCATAGGAAAATCTGACCTCCTCTGAAAGGATTACGTGACACTGAAATTACTACTGCTCTCATGTTGTAAGAGTGACCCACCCCAACAGACGGCTCCCCAGGTGGGGGTGAAGGCCAAGAGTTCTGGAGGGACCACCGCTGGGGCCCCAGGTACACTGGGTGCAGGGGTCACGTCAGGAGGCCGTGAACTCAGAAGCCTACGGGGGCCTCACAGTTACGTACTGTCAGGGGGCTGCGGTCATTCAGAGGGCCCTGAGTTCCACGGCCAGCAACTGCTACCTAAGCAAGTAAGTGTGAAACCAGTTCTAGTAACTCTCATGATTATAAACAAATCAGCTTTCTTTTAGGAATGGCAAGGTAGGTGAAAATCCCAACAGAGAACATAAAGGGAAGACCAACTCTTGCACGATCTAGAAAAAGCAGACACTTCTCTGGGACACCTTCCCTCCCTTGTCACTCATTGACTCAGGAGGGAGGAGTCAGTATTCGTGCATTAACCCAACAAACCTTGTGGGCACCCACTACCTGCCAGGCAAGGCTTTAGAAGCTGGAGCTACAGGGGCAAACAGTCAGCATAAGGGCTGCCTTTGCAGCTTACGTGGCAGGGCGGGGCTGACCATAAACAAACACGCTGTAATGCTCTGTCTGCCAAGAATGGGGGGAAGGGACTCAGTGACAAGGGAGGGGCCTCTGAGCAGAGACCTGAAGGAAGTGAGGGGACAAGCCATGTGACTGGTTATCCAAGAGGGCAGCTCAGTGGGCCTGGCCAAGAAGCCGCTGGGGAGGGGCTGGCGAGGGAGCAAGCAGGGCTGGGAGGGCTGCCGAGGCCCCGCAGCTCACCGCACGAGTTGGGATTTTATAAACCATCGGAAGCCGCAAGCCAGGCTTCCCAGGATCAGACTCACCTTCCAACAGGGTCTTTCTGGAGAATGGATGGGGGAAGCAGAGTCGAGTTAGGAGGCTCCTGCAGCCAGCCAGGGTGCACCGAGGACAGAGCCATTACCTGGAGAGGGCAACCTCTGAGGCAGAAAGGGTCTACAGCTGCCACGCCTGCCCCTCCCTGGAGAGCATGTCACACGTCGGGACAGAGGTGCACCCAACAGATGCCTAAGTCAATCTCCCGTGGTCTGCTAGGGGTGGGGTGGGGTGCTGTCTGAAATCCAAGGGTAACTCTGAGCTCTGCTAAAATGAATTCCTTCACCAGATGTGTCTTTGCTGCTGTGTAACTCACTCACACTTAATAAAGCCAGTCTGGAGAAGCAATGTATGCCCAGGAAGGCGAAAACCTCCCCCACCCCAGCTGGGCCGGCTCACTGGTTCCTTTCTCCGCTCTGCTGGCTCCCAGAGGGCAGCAAGGCTGGCAGGAACGTCTGCACCAGAAACACCACCAACCTCAGGCCTTCCTTTCTCCCGCCAGGGGAGCCGCCTCCTCCTTTGTGACTCGCAAAGCGTGGCATGCTCCTTCCTGGGGCTGCACAGAGCTTTCGAACCAGTCAGAGCAAGGTCAGGCGAAGCAGAAACACTGAGCCAGTGAGAGGGCCGCCCTCTAGAATAATTAGGCATTAGGCAGCAGAGACCCTGGACGTTTCAAACACTGCATCTGCATATGCACCAAAGGTTTCCTGGTTCCGGGTGGGGAAGCTCAGCCTCCCCCAAGCTCCAAAACAAAACCGTTTCCTGAGAGAAGATAAAGAAAGGAAGGGAGGAAGGGATGAAACACCGATCATACTCCCGCTAGGGCGTGCCTGACAGGCCCAAAGGAGAGGCCAGAGCGCAGTGCAAAGCGCCCAGTAATATCGAAACCCCTGCGGGCCAAGGTCTGAGGATGAAACAGAAGGCAGAGTGCTTGCCGGGTTCAGACACGGGGGGCTCAAGAGAACCCTCACCCCACCCCACTCCTGCACAGGCTGTCGCGCGCTGATGTGAAGAGAGTTGTGGGGGATCAGAATTAGCCACCCCAAAATGTGTCTCTTTGGCTTGAGTATTTTTAAGAACAAAAGACTCCGAAAGAAAACTCTGACCTTCTCTCTAACTGCCTAAAAGAATTTAAGACAGAAGGGTGGTCCCAGGAAGGACCTATCACCACAGATAATTCCAGGTGTGGCAGACAGGAAGGCACCCAGCAAGGGCCATTTTGTCAAAAGATCTCTTTCGGTTCCCACTGTCTATAGATGACCCTGCAAACACCTGTTCATCAAACATTTGCTTTTCCATCGCCAGGTAAATTGGAGTGCCAGGAGCACAATGGGCCCTGGGGCATGCGACCCGACTGCAGCAGCGGCTGCCTTCTCAATGGTGACAATCAGCTGAGGAGGAAAAGAATCACAAGACTTCTATATTTGAAACTGTGTGCTCTTAGATAACTGTACTGATTTTTCCTAGAAAGAAGTAAACATTTTGCTTTAAAAAAATAAAAAAGAAAGGCCAGCCCCAGAGTCCTGATGCTGTGAAAGTCATCAGGTGATGCCAGTGGACTTCCAGGCCTGAGAACCAGTGGCTTAGAATCGAGGGACAAACAAGCCTGAGGTGCGGTGGTGGGCGAGCTGGTTGTGGGGCTAACGCCCCTGGGGCGACCTGCTGATGGCTCTGGCACAACCCCCTCATCCACAGGATGGGGCTGAGAGCTGTAGGAGAGGCCTTGGCACAGGGGTGCATTGTCAGGGATCAGAACCGGCCACCCCAAAATGTGTCTCTTTACCTCGATTATTTTTAAGAACAAAGACTCTGAAAGGAACTTTGACCTTCCCCCTAAGTGCCTAAAAGACTTTAAGATACAAAGCCTGTTCCAGGAAGGAGCTAATACCATAAGATAAGTATAATATAATGTAAACTAGGTGTGATAGAAAGGTACCAACAAGCCCATTTTTATCCAAGTTCTGTCTCTCAGGTCCCATTGTCTATAGAGGGCCCAGCAAACACTTGTTTAACAAACATTGGCATTTCTATATCCATGTAAATTACACCCCCCCCCCCACCGCCCAGCCCCGAACCACTACCCTCAACATCCTCCTTTGTTTTTAGCTGAAGATGATATTTAAGGTGACAGCTTGGCCATTGTGGCAAGTTATTCAGTTTTCCTGGGTTTCTCCCATGTATACATGTTATAAAGCTCTGTTTGATTTTCTCCTGTTATTCTGTCTCACATCAATTTAATTCTTAGACCAGCCAGAAGGACCTAGAGGGTAGAGGAGTTGTCTTCCTCCCCTACAGTGTGGCAACGAGGATGGGAAAAAACTTCACTGGCTGGATGCTGCTCGCTCCTGGACTACTGCAGCTGAGATCCTGGACCCCTGACAAGAGCTGGCAGGAGGTAAGAGTTCTTACCATGTCTGTCTCCCGGATCTCTGCCTGCAGGGTCCAGTGGAAGCATGAGTGGTGAGTTTTGTTTCCTTTTCTAAATTTAGATTAGCAGGAGAAAATATTGGTGAAGCTAGCTTCTTGGACTCAGCAACTGGGATATTTGGTTTGAGTACTCATTGGTTTATTGATCCTTCTCCTCCCAAAGGGGGTCACTCTGTCTTTTGTGTCATTTGTCATAAAAAGGAAAAACCTCAGGGCAAGACGCAGGCATCTCTATAAGCCTGTTGTCTGGGAATACGCGCATGATGTGAAGACTGTTGTCAAGGGCATCTTGGAAGCCAAAAAGGACAAAAATTTGGTGGGCACAGGCTGAGCAGTTAAGAGCCATGAGGCTGCTCGCCACCTCAAGAAGACTCCTGTGAAAGGAGAAGTTGGTCACAGAACAGGGTAGATGACACAGGTCCCCTGCCAAGCTCAAGAAAATGTCTGTGCAACAAGGTACCCTGTAAAAACACTCATTCCCCAACCCCTTGGCACCTCCCTCCTAGGTATTAGTCTGGCTCCAAGAGACCCCAAGTTTAGCTAAAGCTGTTAATGTGCATATAAAATGAGGTTATTTTCTTTTG